TACATTTGTGATAGGGTTCTACTGCATAAGGGCCCTACATTTTTAGTATAGTCACCTTTTACCTTCTATGGTTTGAACTTTCAGGGTCCAAACTTCTTAACCTGCCACTTTGCACGAGTAGCTGCCAAGACTGTCCCAGGATCTCAGTGATATCCACTCACTTACCCTGACTGAGAAAACAACTCGTTCTCCAAATATCATGCTGCATCAATTTCCAAGCTCCTCTTGGGGCTCATGTGTCATACAAGGAATCCCTAATGCCTTATTTTATTTTAGGTATCTCTGTCTTTAAGATGAAAATTTGGTACTTTTACCTATGGAAAAAATGAGCCATGTGAAAAAAAAGCTGTCTCTCCAAGCATTTAAAAGCAGGCAGACTACAGATTATGTACTTATGCTTTAACATTCTAATTGCTGACTCAAGATCAAATACCATTATTTTTTTTAATGGATACATCTCCCTTGTAATGCCCTACATGTCATTTGTGTTTTCATGCCTTTTGGCCCAGTTAATAAAATTAAAACCATTAGCAAAATAAGCAGATGCTTTAAAATAAACATTTTTCTGTGTGAGAGGAAAGAAAAGGAACTCAGGGTTGATATAAATCCCAATGCATTATTGCAATACAGGGCGGTTGTGTGTGGGAAGTGAGGATTTGACATATATTTTTATTTTGAAACGTCATACTAATTTACATTATTCAGCCCTTTAACTGCCAAACTGTAAAAGTCCATTAAGCTACTGAAAGGAATATACAAATTATCCACTGGCATTTCAGGCAGGAGTTTTACATATACCCTGTTATTCTATTAGCCAGCTCACTGCAAGATTCTATTAAGGAGTAAGTGAGAAAATTATATTGCCTGCAAACTAATTGTACAAAAGACTTTGAAATAAGTAATCAGAAGCCAGTTCGTTCTGCAAACCAGCCAGGAGATATTATAAATTGCTCTATTCCTCTTGTCAACCCAGTTTAAAGACCCTGAGCTGCCATGTTGACTTTGTATAACACCACTACCTCTCCTACTATTGACAGAATGGGGCAAACTCAAGTTATGCTAGTAGTAGCTGCCCAATTCACTCGCTAGCATTATCTAGCTAATCTGGACCGGAGAATGATAAAACATCCTCCTAAATTCCGATGGCCTTTAGCATGTATATGCAACACTCTGAACTGTGGAGTTAGCTAAGTGTTTGCAGAAAACAGTTTTGTCTTTTCCACAGTTTTTAGTACGCTGAAGAAAAACAAGAGACCTTATGATCTGCAAGGTGCAATAAATTTGAACTGTTACCAAAATAGGTGTAATAATGTTAGTGGGTGCTTGGGACAGCACATTTTTAGAATAATATACTTTCATTTATAGAACAACAAAATTCAAGGAGGCTTCAAGGACAGCTCATGAGTAACCTAAGCCTATGTACAGAGACATTCAGTAGACTAATGTGACTGTGTATGGAATGGAGATGACTTGTCTGATTCTGAGTACAACGTTTACACTCTGGACACATTTTAAAGTATTGTTCATTATTGCTAAAATTGTGATTTCCTCATTCATTTGCAACCAAGAGAGATTTTGATCTTCACTATAGAAGTAAATCCTGAGTAGGGTAACTCCATTGACTTCATCACAGATGCTCTGAACTTGCAGCAGAGAAATTAAGATCAGTCTTGTGATACAGAAAATGATTTATTAAAGCAAGACAGTTTAAATGGATAAAGAAAGCTTCCTTATTTTGCCAAATTATTGGATTCTAAGTGATTGGAATAATGTTGCCATATAACCCTATTTATTTGCCCTCTTGATAAACATTTTGAGACAATCAGTTGTCACTCCTGTGGCACGACAGCTATGTGCAACAGTCTTTACACACTTCTTTTTCATCTAGTCCTGTTTCCCAAGGTTTTTGATATAGCTGAAACCTTCAGGATAATGAATTAGAACTGTATGCCATGGAAAATTACTCTCTTCACTCAGTCTCCCAGTGTTCAACCCCACTTCACTTCAGCATCTACACCTGCACTCTTACATAAAGATAGTAATTTTTCTAGATTCATCCAGAAAATTACTAGCTGCCCTACAAAGGGAATCAGTGGTTAGTGTTTTGCGTGCAGAATTATTAGTTAGCAAGTTTTGAATACAAATCCTGCATCTGTTCCTGGCTTCCTCTTTGACCTTGAGCCTCTCCTGATCCTCTGTTTCATTTTCTGTGAGCAAGGATAAGAACTTATATGACATAATGTTGTAGTTAAATGTTTTTGAAGTGCTTGTAAAGCAGGTATTGCCTGATGGTGGAGACATCTCATTGAAGGGAGGTAGTTCAGCCTGAAAGGAAGGTGTAGACCTTGGGGCAAGGTCTTGTTCCCCACATCCTTTTTCTCCTTGGTCCCAAAATATTCTTTACCATCTTTGTTACCAGAAATAAGTCCTCTGGACAGACACTTTCCCATAATTTACTGTACTGCATATTGCCTGCATATAATAAGCCAGTGATACTCTGGCTTGCAGGCCATATCCAGCCCCTAAAGCCATATCTTCTGGCCCATGGGTCTCCCCACAGGTCTAGAAACTTGGTGGCAATGTTCATTGTTGCTCCCCTGATGGCAAATGTCTTGATCTGTGAGGAGCCTTGCTGGCTGGATGACGTGGCACTGTGTGCTAGATTTTGAGGCTGGATCCAGCTTGTGGGGCCAGGCCAGCATATGTCCAGATCCAGCGAGCACCAGTTAACTTTGCATGCCAACCTTGTGCATGGGATCTGGTCTGTGTACCAGCCCCATACCATTCATCTGACCTGCAAGGACAGAAGGTTGAGTGTTATAGTATTAAGCAGTGTTTTTCTTATTAGCGAGGAACTGAAGGGCCTAATTCAAATTGTAAGTTGTGTATTCAAGACTCCAGAGTGATCAGACATGTCCTGATTATGCACTCTTTTTGCAAGCATTACTAATTCAGCCATACAATAATACTCTAAATGAATAAAGCTTGTCCAGCCCTGTTAAGGTTGTGCAAAGTCTGTTGGTTTTATTGGCAAAAATGCATTAAGTTACAATGCTAATTTAGTGAGAGATTTCTGATGGGCTTGTCTTGCATATATTGCACCATGCAGACCTCTTTATCATAAATACTTAACCAATTTTCAATAGATATAAGTGGTTTACGTATTACTTCCTGTTGAATTAGCAGTTGCTGAGCATTTGAGCCTTTGTGCAATCCTGCAATCCACTAATGTGATATTTAATGAGGAGACATCAGTCTGGAGAAAGGTAGTCAATATAAATCAGTGTTTACAAAGTGTGATTAACTCTGAAATATTTCATCAATGCTGTGGTCCCAGGCAGACTCTATGCTAATTACTAGAATCTGCGCATGTTTCAGGGGACTTTGACGGACCCTGAGTGCAGCAAACATGGAGCAGCAAAATTGCAATTATGCTCGGACTGTCTCTGATGACAATTTATGCATTTGGTGTGATGACCTCCCACTTCCCAAGAGGGCAATAAACAGAATGCATTTTCATTAGGATACTAATGCACTTAATCACAGGGGAAAAGGGTTAGAAAGTAACGAAATACTTTTAAAGCAAGATGTGACAGGGCTGATGGGGAAGCTACTTTATTTCAAAGTCAGTTTCTTTATGAAACTTCCGACTACCACAACATTTGTCATATGAAATCTAGCTGTGGATAATAGGGTATATTGATATATACAGAAGAGCTAAGCTTTTTACTGAAAAATACTGAAGTATTGTGGCAACAGAAGAACATTTTTTTCACAGTCTCAGATACTCAAAAAAAGGGAAAGTTTGTTGTAATTTTTAACATTTAAAGGAAATAACTTTTAATGCTTAAATGTTGAGTGCAGTTTATACTCACTGTGATGCTCAGAACAAAGTGAAGAGGTTACTCTGCTAAAAGTTATGGATCAAGATTGCCAGGCCTTGAGTTGTTTGCTAGGGACAAAGGAGAAGGGGCAAAAATCTCTCATACTTCTAGGGATCTAGAAAGTTGCCAAATTTAATCTTCATACTTGGATTCCCTAAATGCATTGACCTTATAGGTCCTTAGGTCCAGTGGTGCTTGAAACCCCAAATGAGGATAAAGAGGTAGCTTAGAGTAGCAAGGAGTATATATTACGGCCTTTTGAAATGTGTTCCTGTGAGCGGAGTCTTCCGATTTCAGAGACATTGTGCCTGTCATTTGGGAGGGCAAAGATGGAACTTTTGTGTTGCTAATTGCAACAGATCTTGACCAAGAAGAAGACTGGCTCTTCCTTATGGACCTGCGGAAAAGGGGCAGAAAAAACAATGCAGCTCTTACATCTTGTTTTACAATCCCTCAGACACAACAACTTACATTCTGAAGGCCTTCTCTGGCCAGAAACTTAAAAGAGGCTTTCTGGGTGGGATTTTTGGACCAGGGGCCTGATCCAGGTAACATAGTGGGGATATTCCTTGATCCAGCTTCCACAGAATACTGTTGCCTCTGGCAGCCATAATCCACCTGGAGGATTTTGGCTGAGGCAATGTATGCAGGATGGATATAGGTCCACATTAATGCTGCCATTTTTATATGTGGCCATATGAACTAAAAGGGCAGCTGGGGCTGAATTTGATTTTTTTTTTAATTGAATATCAGCTGCATTTCCACAAAAGTTAAGGTGGCTTGCTGTGCATCCAGTAATCTTGCTTTAGATTGGTACTGACTTTAGACTGGTACTGAATGCTGACACCAGTCAAACTAGCTGTAAATGGGTACTTGGGCTAAGGAGACAAAGATGGGCAGACATGATGCTAGCCACATCACCCCCTCAGGTAGCATTAGCTTCAAAACTCATGTGCTGTAAACATGGTAGCCCGGTGTGCTTTGATCTTTTTGGCTGATGCTCATATTTTCCAAAACAAAATATACCAGCAGTGTCATGAGTTTTGTTCGTATAACAATGGGATCCATCGATTGAGATTTCTCACTGGCTTCTTTTTTCTGAATTGTATGCCTCAGGTAACATAGAATACAGCTGCCCAGCAACGAATGAATGTGAAATCACAAAGCGCAGACGCAAATCCTGCCAAGCCTGCCGCTTCATGAAGTGTCTAAAAGTTGGCATGCTGAAAGAAGGTAAGGCTGATTGAGTCAATACATATCTCTCTACAAACACTTGTAACAATTGCAGGGCAATCAAGAAAGAAGAGAGATCGGTAAGTGTTCTGACCACCTACTATAGTAACAATCTTGATGTGTGTATGTACTCCCTGACAGTATGTTTGTAACTGCTGGTTGAAGACTCCAGGGACATCCAGGTAAAACACATGTTCTGTGATACAGAATATATTGGGTACACCATAATATTCATTCTGGTGGAATGCTCATAGAATAATCATCACAAAGAAAGAAAGAGAACAGTTCTGTTTCTTCCTCTTTTTTAAGTTGTGAAATTCTAGACCTCCCTGTACCACCCCCCCACATTTTTTGCACTGGTTCTGGTAGAACTGTATTTGTGATATGTTTTTTTCCTATGTTGTGCTGCTGCTTGATATCATCAGAATTGAAGGGATTGCTTTTCTCCTTCCATCTGTATTGGTGTAACCTGGAGTAACTCTGCTGAAGTCAAAGAAGGTACTCTGGTGCGAAACTTGCAGTGTGGGGGAAGGTGAAGAGGACACTGAATATTAAGTGCAAATAAAAACCTTTACCCCTGACTCCCAAGCTTGTATTTTTACTGCATCAGCTGCACCTCTTCTTCCAAATCAAAGGTATTAAGTCATTGGTAACTACAGGGAACCATCCTTAAGGAACTGTGCTAACAGATTGGGGCCTCATTCACCCTAATGTTTTCTCAGTTATACCAGTATAAAACTTGCCCAAGGGAGAATTGGGCTCCAGGCTCCAGAATGAAATACAGGTACCTACTATTTTTTGTTATTGTTGTCTGTGAATGTGCAAGAAGGTGCATATGTATTTTCTTTTCTTTTAAACTTTGTATTTAGATTACACTGTTCCATCAACACAAAATAATACAACTCCATTGACTTCAGAACTAGATAAGCATTTCAAATAAATGCCTTTAGTGCAGAACCCCCTTAGTTAAATGACTTTCTCCAGACAATCTCCAGTGCTGTTTTATTTGATCATTGCTTTAAAAGTTAGTTTTAATATGTGACTGACATTTGAAAATCCTTTCATTGGTCATTTAAAATGGGATTCAATATATAGGTATCCAAAAAAGAACACAGACTGATAGAGAGATGATGGAAAAAATAGGCCTATCATACACCTACAGACATATTCTTATTGGATTATACTTACTAAGAATAAACCTCATTCTGTGCAACTGCTTTGGCAGATGCTATGATCCTGTGAGCCAAATCCTGCTGTCCTTAGCTGGACGCAAGCAAAACTCCTGTCAAATTCTGTGGAGGTTTTGCTTCAGCATAGAGTACAGGATTTGGCCCTCTTTTGTAGTGCTGATTCAGAATTTCCTTACTTGTAAAAAAACCTAATTTGCTTCCATCGCTAAAATCCCTTACACAGAAACTA